ACAAGAGCTAGTCTGAAGATTTTCAAATTAATTTCATACTTGTTCTGTAGAGGATTAGAATTGACAGGCATGGTTTTTGAAAGTCCAAGGATGTTTATCTGAAACATAATAAAAATAAAACCGAAAAAAAGAGATAATCCACAGATGTGAGTTGTGCTGCTTTATTTGTAGAAAAAATGCATAATACTTAATAGCTCAGCAGCAAAAATAGGAGAGAAAATATACAGCATATACCATAACATGTAATTATATTTAGCATCTAAATTTCCTTTTGGAAGCCCTCATTTTGGAGAAATAAAAGGACACAATAAAAGAAGGAAGAGAGCTGGTAATATGATGATACACACCCGGCTACTCAAAAGTGTTTCAAGTACCTCACTTATTGGGCACTCACCTTGCGGCACTTAAAAGGGGCCTAATTCTCAGAGTAGAGCAGCCATGCTTTAAAGATCTGGACCTTTGGATGTCTTGGATTAAACATTTTTTAAAATCTTGCCTCTAGTAAATTTTCAGTCAATCATTTTATTTTACAAATAACCTCTATCTTGTTCCAAATATTAGTGTCACAAAAACATACACTCTAAGGCTATCATTGTTGATAGTGCAGAGTTAATAAGATTAAGCTGAGGTAAAGGGGGATGACTTGATATAAGAAATCACTTGCTAAGTGAACTCAAAAGCCACGAATGGAGGTATATCGGGGAAGTAGCTACAGGATTTGTGCTTGGAAGTAGAGAAACGTAGCAGGTGGGGTGCCTGGTTTATCTCTGGACTGTTTGGTTGACTGGTTTTCTTTTGTTCGCTCTCTGTGTACAGGTTTAGTAGCTATGGGTCCCAGTAAGCAGTGTGGTTTGCCAAAAGCCACCAGGTTCTGGTCCTTTGGGTTTTGATCAGCCCAGATGTTTGAAGTATCTGATTCATCATCCCCTCCCTAATTGTGAGGGGCAGACGGGAGCTGAACTAAGCAGGAGAGACTTGGTAGAAAATGTCATTTGCTGGGCAAACTCAACAACTCCCAAGGCGGGGAGCTGAGAGAATGTGTGTGTGAGAGGCTTTCCTTACAGATACAGCACGACATGTGCTGTGAAGATGGGTAGCGATGGAATAATGGCCTTTATCTGCAGAGTAAAAGTACTCTATTACTTCAAGATGGGTACATGAAAACAGAGAGGTGCCTTTCCAAGTTTGAGAATCCTCCCTAAAATCTGGGGCTGTTTACTCTGAAACATTAGCGATTGAAGATTAGTAGAAACACAGTCTTTCTCGCTGGTCAAATTGACAGCGTGGGATGACTCAGCGGGGTGTTTCCTTCTTTATAATCTGTGGGTACGTCTAGACTACCGGGTTTTGTCGACAGAAGTTTTGTCGACAGTATCTGTCAACAAAACTTCTGTCGACAAAGAGCATCCAGACACATTGAGTTCTGTCGACAAAGCAAGCTGCTTTGTCGACAGAACCCTGTAGTCTAGACGCAACCCTGCAGGCAATAACACCTTCTGTCGACAGAACTCTGTCGACAGAAGGTGTTATGCCTCGTAAAATGAGGTATACCAGCGTCGACAAAACTGCTGAGTTCTGTCAACGTTATGTCGACAGAACTCAGCGGTAGTGTAGACGCTGGTATAGTTTTGTCGACAAAAGCCCACTTTTGTCAACAAAACTCAGTAGTCTAGACACACCCTGTTTGTCACGGCTGTTTCTGGGATCAGTACATATTAGTGACATTTTGAAAGCTCTCGCTCTTCATTTTCTTAATTGTATTTTCAGAGAATGACCAAACAGTTTCATCAGGAAATAAGGTGCTCCCCTTCTTTGTCCATGCTACTTTCTAGTGATCTCATAGATGTTTGTTGTAAGGTAAAAATTCTGAGTTAGGCTATGATTTTCTGTTAAGCACCCCTATTCTAAATTTCCAGCCTGAAGCTGACACACAAACACAGTACATGACAGTTCTCCCCCTCTTCCTCGCCTAGCCCATCGAAGAAAGGTCGTTATAGCGCTAACAACCCAGGGTGGGAGACAGGACATAACACATTCAATAGTGCTAGGAACAAATACACAATTGTCAAATACTCCTAGGCTATGTCTACACTGGCGTGATTTTCCGGAAATGCTTTTAACGGAAAAGTTTTCCGTTAAAAGCATTTTCGGAAAAGCACGTCTAGATTGGCAGGATGCTTTTCCGCAAAACCACTTTTTGTGGAAAAGCATCCCTGGCCAATCTAGACGCGCTTTTCCGCAAAAAAGCCCCGATCGCCATTTTTGCGATCGGGGCTTTTTTGCAGAAAACAGTACTATGCTGTCTACACTGGCCCTTTTGCGCAAAAGTCTTTCGGAAAAAGACTTTTGCCCGAATGGGAGCAGCATAGTATTTCCAGAAAAGCACTGATGATTTTACATGAGATCGGCAGTGCTTTTCCAGAAATTCAAGTGGCCAGTGTAGACAGCTGGCAAGTTTTTCTGCAAATCATACGATTTTGCGGAAAAACTTGCCAGTCTAGACACAGTCCTAATGTCTCTGCTTTAATTCTGGACGAGCCCCAGCAAACAGAACCAGGATGTGTTTGGAGGAAAAGAGAGACTTCCATCCCTAGTCTAATGAGGTGGTAAAGTAAACATACTCACCCTCTTGGATGTCAGTCTCTGGCTCCATTCAGCTCACAAGCCTGGATCCTGAACGAGCTACCAACTGAAGGAACAGAATCTGGACATCAAATGTGAAGCAAGCAGGAGAGTTTATTACACACACAACGCTGGCAGAGTGTCACGTCACTTATTAGGCTCAGTGAACACTGCCAGACCATAGATTACAATTAATTATATAGGATGTTTAATGGGTCGTTCAAGTTATGGGGGAATAAGATCCTGGACCCCTGGATAGGTGCTAATTGTGAGGCAAAATAAGGGCAATAATCTAAAGGTTACATAGTGTTTTCCACCCGTAGCTTACATAATATCTTACAACAAGTATTTAAAAAAAAACAGACATCAATTATCAATTATGTGTGAAGAGGCGATGTGTCTGTCAACTTCAGGAAGGTATCTTTGCACAGATGTGGTTCCTCTGGGGATTAAAGCAGAGACATTAGGAGTACTTGATAATTGTGCATTTGTTCCTAGCATTATTGAATGTGTCATGTCCTGTCTCCCATCCTGGGTCGTTAGCTCTATGATGACCTTTCTTCGATAGGCTAGGCGGGGGGGGGGCGCCTCTACTATGTTTGTATGTCAGCTTCAGACTGGAAATTTAGAATAGGGGTTTTTAACAGAATATCATAGCCTGCCTCAGAAATGTTTACCCTACATTGTATTTCATTCTGCATTGCTCAGTACTGCTAGGAATTGAAACAAAAACGGTGGACTTGATTGAGGTGTCTCATCAGTTTTTCACCACTGTGACTCCATTGGCTTCATGGCGTTGTTCCTGATTTACAGTGGTGAAAATGCTCCTGAATCAAGCCTGATATGTAATCATGCAATAGGCATTATGGTTTGCCTGAGACAGAACTCCTCAGTTTTTTGGGACAGCTGGTGCCAACTGTCCGTTCAAGACTCGCTCGATGTACTCTAAAAGCCAGTAATGCCTTTAATTTGCTCAGGCATTTCAAAGACATTTATGTATGTATAAATGTTGATTTTATGTGCATGTTTGGAATAAGTTATATACTCACGATGATCTCCTTACTGTGTCACATGGTGAAAGAGCTGCCTGGTGAAAGATCAGCTTTATTTTTTTTTCTTTTCATAGTTATTATTTTTTACAGAGATAAATAATTTATGTTGATTTAACTCTTGTGTTTGCCACCCGTTTTCAAGGGAGTCCTTCGGTAATTGATATTGGGGGGGAATAACCAGAATCCTCTTCCTGGGAATTCTGTCCCTTAAATTCCACATGCAATGCTTAGTCGACCGTCCTTTACTCAGATTACGAGCAGCAGATGTTTTATCAAAAGCTGCTTTGGTGACATTTTGAGACTGCGCATGGGCTTCCAGACTGGCATCCTATCGGGTCATGCTAGCGCACAGGGAGAAAACCATGTCCATTTCAAATCTATTTGCATCACACGCCATAAACTGGTGTGT